AGTTGACCCCTTGTGATGGTGAAACGGCCCCAAATAATCTGTTGTGTGTCTTAAGTGTATAATGGGGGTTTAAGATTATACAATAATAGTTACTGATTGGTGGTTTGGAACATGACTTGTATTTTTCCATATATTGGGAATGTCATCATCCCAACTGACTAAAACCTGGCTGGTGGTTTGGAACGTGACTTGGCAAATGACTTTCCATATATTGGGAAGAATCATTCCAACTGACTAATATTTTTCAGAGGGGTAGGTACACCACCAACCAGTTGATCATGGTCAAATCACCCGTTTTTTACGGGCAAAAAACACATGGTGCCATGATTTCCTGATTTTTTCAAGATTTGGTGAACGGAAGAGACAGGAAACCCAATATCTCAGGGGAAAATCCGACTTGTTTCCGGCTAAGATTTTCCAAAGCCAATCAATAAATAGATGGTCAATTCACCGTTTTTCGCGGGAAAAAATGTGAAAAAATGTATCTATTTGTCATGAGGATTCCATCATATTCCCTTGCCAGGTGGACTATTTCATCAGTCACTGGTGGGGCACTCCCTTCATGAACTTTTGCGAGTCGGTGAAGCGACACGCCATTCACATGAGCCGCGCAGCAGCAACGGGGGTGGATGTCGCGTGGCTGATCCCATTCCCTTCCACAACCACAAAAGAAATATTGTGATTTTTCCATCCAGTCGAAATAGTGGATTTACCATGATTTACCCATTGAAAATGGTGGATCTTTCCATAGTTATGTTAGTTACCAGAGGGTAACCAACAATCACCAACAATATGGGATTTAGAAAATCTATCTCTGGCGGAAGTGAGCAACTTCACCGCGTCGTCACTGGAATGCTGGTTGGAAAAGGGTAGCCATCGCAAAATCGCTTTATTTTAGGTCGTTAAATGATTACAATTTATCCAGATACAATGATTTTTCCAAATTCTCAAATGGATTTGTCTGAAAATAGGGAACTCCCAAACCCATGGTTTATCATGCGTTCCTGATTGAATTGCCATATGGTTTTTATACTATGGCATGCTCAATTTTCAGATAGACCTAAATGTCCGGTGTAGTGTCTATGTTTCACTCCATCGCAGGTCATTCCGAAGATGAAGGTCAATGGAACTTTGTCTTGAAGTGCTGAGGTTTTGGGGGGTGCAGTTGGGATGCATTTTATGGGTATACGGTGCAACTATGGAAATAGCCTTCATAAGTTGGAGAAAAAAGGGCCCCATGCAAGTATGTGAGATAAATCCACTTATAACTGGGACTGCAACATACTGCAACCCCAAGTAAGTCTGTGTGTGTTGCTTTAGGTTTCTGTGATGTCAAGGGTGATTAGGAAGCGACCTTTTTTGGATATGACTTGATATGACTGCGGTGGCTAGGGGGATTTGGGGATTTGATGGGGATGAGTCCAAAAACAGATGGGGAATCACATCCCGAATCACGAATCCTCCACAGTTCATTCCAGTAAATCTTCATGATTCACAAAGAGTTATGGATGGTGTGCTTGCACGTAAATTCTGGGATGTGCTAGAGATGGAACTGGCACAGTGATGTCCAGGTCATGGGGCACAATTTGGGCACAATGACAGAAACTTCACCATTTCTTTGGGCAACCTGCCCCAAAAAAACAATACAGAAAGACAGGGCCAAAAACGCATAGAAATATGGACTTTTGTAGTTTTATGATGTTTTATTGTAAGGTCCTGACCTAAATCCCCAGACCTACTGCAGAGTACGAAGGGCTGAAAGCTAGGCATTTGAACTCATTGGTTGTGGGAAGAATTGACCGATTCATAAGTACCTGTCTTCTTGAGACATGACTGGGTTGCTTTGATCGCAACTGATTGAAAACAAGATTTCTGCTTGATTCGTATCATGTGAATCATGTCCGAGTCCTAGAGCGTGGGGTGTTGATTTCCTTTGGTATTTAGGCGATTTCTTGTCATCAAGCCCACAACTACCGTCCATGCTCAGTCAGAGAAATGAGAAGACATCATCTCATTCCGAGCAATATTCCACCTCTCTGCCAAACAAAACTGATCCTGTTTTAAGCATATTTGGTATTAAACCATCCTTCTTTCGGGTGATTTTTCAGACATTTCAGCCACAAAGCCGAGGAAAAAGATCGCGTATTGGATCTGCACCTTTAGCAACAACCAATACCGGGTAAAGGAGGTCGGCGGAGTCAAAAAAAGGGCATAAAAAGGGGGATTGGGAGGCAGGAGAATCCATGGTCATATGCGAATAATATCGTTTTAAGAATATGTTTATCCGTGTGTGTGTGTGTGTCCGTGTGCATGTGTGCCGCCAGCAAGAATCAATAAGAAGAGGAATAGAAAGAATGATCTTAAAAGAAAACAACTATCACTTAAATGATTGTCATTCAGCTCAGCCAGCTTAAATCCCATATATATTATCCACTATTTCTATGGCCATTTTCAATAGCTATGTTATTCACCGTGAAATCCCATATTATCCACTATAAATGGCTTAAATCCCATGAAATCACCATAAATTCCGGAGTTCAGCCAAGATCAGCCAAGACAGCCCACCAAGTGTGTCCAGGAGTTGGGCGTCACCCACCAGGAATCATCCTTTTACATGGCGCTGCACAGCAATCGATGCAAGGCATCGATGCCAAGCCAAGTGCCAGATTTTCTGGTGACGGAGATTGGAATTTAACCATATCATCACGATGTAGGTGGATTTGCCCACTATTTATATGGATTTATCATGATTTATCTATGATTTCTATGACTTGAGATGTGTTTGAAACAACAGATGGATTTCTGGATGGATTTCAGCAACAAAGAGCGACTGCCATACTAGGGGATCAACAAAGCCATGGCGATCCGACGTTTTTTCAGGTGGTCCAGGTCGAGGTGAGTTGGGCGCTTTTTGGGACCTGCACAAGAACTGTGGTTTCCGGAAGGTATCGACCATTCCTGTGGGCCACGAGAGCCTTCCAGAACGATTAGCATCCGAGCATCATGCATTGATGAGTAGCACACTTCAATGGATTGCTTTTGTAGCACAAGGATGCTTTTTCCCCTCAAATATAGGGGCTTTAGGTGGCTTTAGGTAATTTTTCCTTCCAAACACTTCTGGAACACTAATTCTGCTCCACACAGCCATGGCATCGGGAAAAAAGTCCCATCTGCCATCCACAGTCCTATAATCTTTCAAATTCCCAACCGGCATGTGGCACCATGGATATGGGTGTTTCTCAAAATTGGGGTGCAGTAGAGCACCCCATATGTCCATTTCTATCCAAAAATCATTCTCATAGATTGATTGATAAAATGAGGTCCCCATTAAATTGAAACCTTCCACGAATCACCAATAAATTTGATGTTCGACCCATGTTTCCATGGTTATCCCCTGCAAAAAATGTAGACACAGTGAATGATACAATTGGTCCCCTTCCCTAATTCATATCAAACTACATAAACCTATGGTTTTTGGTCGGGGGTTACCCTTATTTGGGATCACACAATGGGGATGTTTAATATGGACAGGGGATGGAAATCCATTGGGCACGCAGGGCACCGCCATGATCATGGACGAAGAAGCGTCGTTGTTGAAACGCTCCTGGTGCCTCTTCGAGTTGCTACAGACCGTCAGGACGTGTTTTTTAACGCTGCGGGATGGTGGTGACCCCAATGATGCCTTCACGGCCCTTGGGTGTCTCAAATTTGGGTGTTATATTGAACTTGTGGTGACGCTTTCGGCAAAAAAAAGATGCTATTATGACTTGTTATTAGATCAAGCTCTGGTAGATGGATTCTATTGAGAGTTCCTCAAGTTCGATGCTATCTGTTATATGGTTGGTTACCTGGATCATTTATTGCGCCTCTCAGGGATCCAATGCCGAGGTTCCGGCCTGCGCCAAGAGAGTCTAGACAGTTTCGACGGTTTCGGGTGAGTGCTCCACGTTTCAATCCTGAAATTGGACCCCATCATGCACCATCATCAAACTTTCTAGTTGTGATGGCCGATTTTGCTTTTCACTGTCGAAAGACATAACCAGGCTCGAGTTTTGGATAGATATCTCGAAGTAGTCTCTGGGGTCATAAACCAACTCACCATGAATCTTCTTGAATCCCAGTCATCATTAAATCCCAACTGTTTATGATAAAATCATGGTGAATCAACTATTGACCCCAGTAAATCCACTCAAAAAAATCCACTAGAGCACCATGCTTCGTCATTTCTCATGGTTAAACCATGTTAAACCATGTTAAACCACCATTTTCCCATGGTTTTCCCCACCTTGTGTCGTCTCAGCTCCAGGAAGACGCAGAGCGAGGCGGCCCGGGCGGCGGAGAGCGGCAGTCTACCGAAGTCTCCGCGCTTCGTGGCCCGGCACTGAAAAAAATACAGCATTGCAGGGGATGATTATAACCGTTGGTAAGGATTATAGGGAATTTCTAATATGATTATATAGGTTATAAGGTAGTATTGTTATTGGTAATTATATATTTATCTAATAGGAATCACAATACCTATATCATGATTGATTGTAAAGATTATGATCGGTAATTCCATAGTAATTATTAATTAGAATGATATGTAATAATACCATCAATCCACATTGTAATAATAATTCAAGCCCTTTGGGAATAGGGATCATAATCCCCTGAAACAGGACATGAAAATGGTCATTACATTAACAATGCCAGGTCACATGGCTTATAATGGCGTATAATTCATACCATTAATCGCTTAGAATTCCACATTCCACAGCATGATAGGGATTGTTATAGGGATACCCTGAAAACAATATGACATTTCCACAGCCATGATAGGGGATAACTCTTGCCCTTTGGTAATGTAACAGGTTGCTGTGGAAAAAAACACAATGTTTAATAGGTAAGTAAGACACCGATAGATGAGCAATGTTTAGTGTCTATTTTGAACTACCAGAGGGTATGCCCAAAGTGAATCCTGTTAGTCTATCGCACGATTGATCATGATTGTTGTTCAAGATTTGGAGGCTTTAACCCACAAAAAATGAGGATGTCACCATGGAAAATGCGGATGTAATCAAGAAAAAAGGGGTTGAATACGGAACAATTGCGACTAAACCATCAATAATTACGGTTCAAGCATCAAACATGCGGGCGTATTTAACCAACAAGCGTTTAGCGGTTGTGAACACCAGTCTTGGTTGTGACTACCGTCCTGCCGAAAAACAAAAAAGTAAACAAACTGCAGATTGGCCTGGCAAAGCATATTTCTTGCAGGTGCAACCGCTCAGTTGAATGTAAGAACACCGAGTCAAATGATCTTATACCGTTTTACGCCCAGAGGGGTGCCATCCATCACCGAACCATCCGTCAAACCATGTGGGCAGATTGGAGGGTGACCGCACCACAAGACCTCACCGTGCAAGTGTCCAATGATTTGCTACGAAGGAAAGCAATGACTTTTAAAAAAATCATCAAATATCATCAAGCGTTCCTACATTCGAATCTAGTACGACAACCTCAATAAGTGTCAAAAAAAACAGAAAAAGAACTGGTGATCCAATACTTTTGATTTCAGTATGAATTTTCAAGCACATATTCCACAAAAAATGCATCAATCAATCTATAGAATATTTGAACAAAAAGGCTGGCAAGCATTGAATGTGTGTAAAAGTTTGTGCCCGCCAATTCCACAAGACAAGCCAAAAGATTGGCAAATATTTAAACTTAGATCCGTAGATGATATGTACACGATTATATGTCCAATCAATAAACAACCATCTGGAGTCATATTATTGATAAACAAAATATGTCCATATATTACTGCATCACTAATCAGAATTTAAAGGCCAATAGTTATATTATATATATAATACTATCTATCTAATCTAGTAATCTTTTAATCTATCTATCTATCTACCTACCTATCTATCTATCTATCTATCTGTGTGTATATTTATTCCATATATGTCCATATCACAAATCAGAATATGTGCCAATCAATCGATCGCCGATCCATCACCAAGGCGGGCATGTTTTTCTGTACGAAGACCGGGGTCTTGATCCTTGGATGCGAACTGGAACTTAGCGGCAGAGTCAGCCCAAAATGGGGGGGATGAATGATGGTTGTAGTAACCCAGAAAGGTAGAACAGCACTGGGTATGTGAGTTGGATTTCACTTTTCTATCTTTTTTGTGGTTACTCTAGTGGGGATATCAAGATATAAAACTATAACTTGATGGAATTAATGCTTGATAGTTGACTGCAATGATGGAGATTTGGTTTGGGGTAACTATCCCAAAATCAACACTTTCCTCATAGTTTTTTCTAACAATGTGTCGTATGTCCGGACGATTTCGCATGGGCACTTCTTAAAAAAAAAAACGAATCAGATCCCTTAAACAGAGTTTCAATCATGTTTTCCTTTGAATCAATGGGAATTTCAGGATCCAACACATGGAGGTACGTAAACATACCATTTAGTACCATTTTTTGGCCATATGAATTGTGGGGATATTCCCTGAAATTTAGGTTTTTTTAACATATGGTAGGTACCTCCAATCCATCGGTTCTTGAAAGGTTTCCATGATCTCATGGCGCGCTGGATAAAAAAAGACCAGGAACTATGGCCACGCAACGGTGGAGTTCGCCAGGAAAATTGGTGAAAACATCAAAAACCTCAGTGCCTTGGCGAAAAAATGTTGGCAGGCTAGTGGTTAACACTTGGGAAATTGTTGGTTGATTGTTGGTGAATGGTTGGGCTTTTCTTAGTTGGACAGTCCGCTACACTTTACCTCAGGCTCGCAGGGGGTATTGTTTCGCTGGACGCGCATCGAAGATCCCATGTTCTCCCAGGATTTTTGTGCGATCCAATGATCCAATGGTGCAGGAGTTACCTAGGCATTTTTAAGATGGCAATGTCCAATGAGTCCAATGTCACATGGCATCTGACTGGAAGCTGCCCGGGCGGTTTCCCCTAAATCATCCCATGGTGACTGGAAGCCCAGCCACCGCCGAGGTTTGGAAAATGCCACTGCCACCAGCCAGGTAGGGGCATGTGGGGGCCATCCCGATTTGGATCATCCCAACGGTGCCGTTGATGGAAGTGGTCTGGTTGGTTTGGAACATGAATTTTACCCTCTGGTTATGTCAAAATAGCTATTGAAAACGGCCATAGAAATAGTGGATTTACCCATTGAAAATGGTGATTTTTCATTTTTATGTTAGTTTACCGGAGGGTATTTTTCCATTCACTTAGGAATATGTGGGAATAAACAGGTCCCAAGTGACGAACTCCATCATTTTTCAGAGGGGTGGCTCCACCGCCAACCAGTTATTGTGTTTCCCACATGACTTTGATTGGGAAGATGTGTGATGAACAGTTTTTGTTGAGATGCGACGGTTTTCCCGATCAAAATCTTGTGGAGATCCCGATCTCATTTTTTGGAGCTAGAGCCGGCCCAAGTTTAGGTACCCAATGACTGAAATGATACTCATATGAAGCCAACTATTGCTGCTTAGATTGTCCGTTGTTTGTTGCTGCTAGAGGATCTCTTCATTGCTTCTTTTTGACTCTTAGTTTCTTGATCGTGAGTTGTCTTTGCTCATAGTTTGAGAAGACAGTTTTTCTCTGGATGGATTCAAAAAGACATTTGTACGAAACCGATCTCGCCAACCCCATTTTGGTCATGACTTAGTGGCAGTAACTCATCTTCCCCATTGCTGGTAGAAGCCCCAGTGGCTCCGCAGGAGGATAAGGATATGATCAACCGCCTGGTTTTGGAAGAAATGGGCAGTTCCTTGGTCGAAATGACGAAATGGGGAGACTTGAAAAATGAGGAAATTGGGTATCCCAAAGGTAGCTGACACAACATGAGGGTTTTGTATGGTTTTATCCCCCAAAAAACAGAGAAATCTGAACCAAAAAAATTGGGGAAAATCACCATTCCTAGGTAGAGCTTGGTTGGGTATGGTTCTGCAGTTCCCTTTTTTCCACCATAAATCAAGGGTCTATACCACCCAGGTAGCTAAGATCAGCCATGCCGACGGCAGGTTACGACAAGATCAACCACATCCTTAGAGATAACTTGGCTGAGGCCCTGAGGCGAGGCACACGGCACTGGGGCACTTGAAGCGGCGAAAGTAGGCCATCAAAAACAGTGGTGAGTCTTATGGTAAAACCAACTAATACATCTGGGTAAATTATAACGACCTCACTGCGACCTCACTATAATCATTGTTCGTAAGGGGAAACATCCCCAAGATAGCTTTCAGGCTAGTGAATTATTACTATTATTTACCCAGATACATGAAGTTGAAAGGGGATTTCAGCAAACACATGCAGGTTAGTTTGGCCACAGTGAGGTGGAAAACCAACCACAGGGGTTGAAGTTCAAAAATGGAGGTTGAACCAACCGAAAATTGAGGGTTCAGCGTCAATTTTTTGGGTTGAAGTGGGATCAATCAACAAGAGTCAAACTGGTTGTTTGATGAACGAATATGCTGATTTCGTCATGAAAACATAGGCATGTAATGGCATTTAGATATTGATGAATGGATCAGTGAAAATCGGCTGACGCTGAGCCAGTTTGATGGAGGAAATATTTGAGACCTAGTCGGTGATGGAAGCGTCAAGATGGCAATGCAGTTCGCCTACAACCAGATGGTCGTTGAGAATGCCACTAAAAGCCGCTGGTTCAGTTCAACATTGCTGGCTTCGGCATGATTGTGGACACCCTCCAGTCCATGAAGAATGTCAATGACATGCTGTAGACAAGCATCATGCAGCATGTGTGCGATATGATGCTGGCAATTGCTCACCTTTTTTACCATGTAGCTAGACAAAAAAATACACAGAACCAGGGCGATGTATGCCCGGTGGAAGGCAGTGGTTGCGGCAAGTCGAGGTGAAGAAAAATACTTCCAACATGTAAAAATTCATGGCACTTCCACAATCTTTACAGTACATATTGGATTTTTTGGGGCCCTATAGTCCTATAGCTCTAGCTACGCAGTTTCCTTATCGGCGGTCAGGAGGTGTCAGGAAGAGGTGGACCTGAATTTCGAAACGCTCTTCAAGGACCTGAAAGGCGGCCGATGGTGGGATGAATCCAAACCGGAGGTGATGATGGACTTTGTAAATGATGAACATGAAATATGAAGTAATTTAGGGCTGGTTAGTATATATCATGTTCAATAATCATCAATAATCAATGATCAATGGTAGAAGCAACATGTTATAATATAACTTTGTATAACTTTGTTATTTGATTATTGATTATTCAGTGGGATGGGGATGGTTTGGATAGCCAAGAGATGAAAATTCAACCATGGGTTGGATAGCCATGAGATTTGCGTATGGGTACTGTAAGGGTGCAAAAAGAAATGATAGACTCCTTGGAGACACAAAACAATGGCCATTTCAGGAACCTAAATTGGAAGTACCTACCATATGTAAGGCCTATGCAAGGCCTATGTAAGGGAATATCCCCACAAAATATTGCCTAGTATGGTACAGTACCTCCATTTTAGGATCTTGGATTTCCCACTGAACAAATGGGTTTGTCAGTTCTAGATGTTCTATACTGGAAACTGACAGCAACATATAGAACTAAAAATATTGGATGTTACTAAAACGTGTTACAATGTATGTAACTAGAGACACAAATATAGGGATGTTCCACTATAGGGAAATGATGTTCGCAAACATTAGTTGTATCCCTATATTGGAAATCAACAGTAACATATTGACCGATCCCCACTTGCTGCGGCTTATAGTTGGCACGCCTGCCTTGATAAAAAAAAAAACGACATGAACACGCGGCTACAAAATGAATCATCCTAAGAATCGGGTTTTACCGTATATACCCAAATTCATCAACCACTATATATATATGTATATATATATTGGGAATAGAATAGGTTTTAGATATTTTATGATGCATTGTAGTCATGGGAAAAACACCTGATTTCCTGTATAATTTCCCTTTAACCAAGCCATTGATCTTGTGGATCCCCATGATGGCAGGCGAAGTGCGACTGGATGTGACTAAAAGTCTCTGATGGCAATGCCACCAGTAAATTTAGTGCTTCTCGTCACTGGGTCTGGGTGGTTGCTAAAAAAAAGCCAAACAAAGCACCCAGCGTCTGGAGATTCTTTTAGGAACTTTTATATAAATATATATATATGACTTAATCCCAACTTTGGGTATGAGAATGAGTTGTGTGCAGCAAAATGGCACCAGTGATAGGGAACACAGATGACAAGCCGACACATGGGCGCCTCAATTTTCAAAGCCATTTGGGGACATCCACATTTTGACCCCTTTTGCCAGGATATGATGGAATCTCAGTGCTGGCAGTGCTGGACCTGTAAAGGCTAAAAGTATGAGTTTCCCAGCAATGAATGGATGTTCGCCAAGACCACGAAAGTTTCGATGCATCAAAACAAATGGAAAGCATGAGGTTTATTCCAACTCAGAGTTCTATGTTTGGAGCTGGGGCTCTGTGCTGTCAACTGGGGAGGCGTGGGGCTGTGTCACTTATAGTGCAACGAATACTCAGAGATGACCCCGCCAAATTGGGTGGAGTTTGAGGAAAGAATGAGCCCCATGTGAGCACTCAGTTGCAGCCATTCCCAGTCAACCAGCTGTTTCCAGCCAGCTAAATTTGAATTAGTTTAAAGCAGCATAAAGCAGCCAGATATATGATCATGGATTGTATGTGAATTTAAGGAGCCATTTTTCGAGGTAACACACGCTTGCCCAGCCCTGCAGTATTTTTGAACCAGAACTGAGGCTTCGATGACAGTGACGTGACGAAACCATCGCTGAACTCTTGGGGTTGTAGTGGCTATCTGCTCAGAAAGATGGTTGCTAAGCATCATGGATCAGAAAAATGTGGTTTGGAAGGCAAAAAAGAGGCGGCTTCAAGCCAAAGACTAGGGTATCAATTGGCATCGAAAAGGAAGATTCGCATCTTAGGGCTACAGGTTTTTTTCACCAAGAACTGGGATGCCACGTGGGCCTCGTAAGATCATCCCTGGGCCTCGTAAGATCGGGTCAGAAGACCTTAAAGCATCACGACCGAACCCTGTTCTCCCGAACCCTAAATAATCATGGTTAGTAAAGGGAATCATCCCAAAATGGCCTAACAATTCAGGTTAGTGAATTATTTTAATTTACCATGATCTTTCATGATCTAACAACTCGAATCCTAGACTTGGTTTCAGGCAAAATGTGCAGGAAAAGAATGGAAAAGATCTAGAAACCATGACCTTTGAACCGCAAACTCTCGGAACAAAACCCATCCATTGAGCAGCCGCTGTCATCTCCCCAGGGCCAAAGGTCCCGGGGATGAAAAATCCAGTGATGCGACCCACCCGGTTTTGTCAAAACATGGCCATTAAAGAAATCCACGGGAAAACATGCCCAAAAAAATAAGTTGTCAATATGATTTGTCATCAAAACCTGGTTGGTGGTTTGGAACATGACGTGGTAAATGACTTTCCATATATTGAGAATAATTAATCATCCCAACTGACGAACTCATATTTTTCACAGGGGTAGGTATACCACCAACCAGAAACACATTTGCTTATATAATAGGGCCTCTCATCAAAAATCCCGTGTCAAAAGGAGATGGTTGTCAAATATCATTTGTAAATTGGGATGATCGCTCATCTTTCTTTCTGTAAGTGGGGATGTTCACAAGTCATCCGTAAACAGGGGCTGATTTCATCAAAAACCATCTGTCGCTGGGGAATGTTCATCAAATTTAGGCTGCGCACAGGTGACTTTCAGCAGAAAACACCTATAAATGCTGGGTTTTCATTGTCAGGCTTGATTACAAGGGTCTTTATACCCAAACACCCTGTTTATCTTGAGATCTTTTCTTCACCGTCCATGATCGTAGCTCTTTTTCAACGGGGGGCCCTGCATGCCCTTTTCAATACACAGCCATGTCACTATGACAAAACCATACAAAAGCCATGAGTCAATGGTGGCCCAACCCATTGCCTAACCAGAAATGGTTCAGGGCCCCCAGCGATCACTTCACTGGTGCGTGGCGAGTCCAGTCGGGGGATGGCGCTAACGAATAGTCTGGCGGCACAGCATGGTGATACAACATGCCGAGGGGAAAGAATATGTTATTCATTATCCCAGGGAGGCATTTCTAGTATCGCTATGGCAAAACCAAAGCAATTGGAACACCTGCTACACCCAGGCTTTTGAACGATGCTCGTTTGGGTCTTGCAAAATTTCCCTTTCGTCCGGAACCCCCCAAAACAGTATGTAACCCCAACAAAATGTCCATCACTTGGAGATGGGCGGAAATTGCCATTTTTATGCACGAAATTTCCAAACTATTTTTTTTGCTCTGTGATATCCATGATTTTCCTATATATATATATTATACATTAGATAATGTTGCAAAAAAATATCTGATACATATATCGTATATGTATAGATATCATTATATTGGATAATATGTATAAAAACAAATATATATATATACGTACATATGCATAAATGTAAATATATATATATATCCCGATACATGTTTGTTTCTACATCGCCATTCCCTCGTGACTCCGAGTCCCACAAGGCGGACGACTCTCGGGAAAGATCTGCGAGATTGGTTAAAAAGACGGCCTGGTTGATGGGTTGTTCTCCGGATAACAAATGGCTTTCAAACTTTAAAAACCATCAAAGATGCAGAGCAAACATGGAGACAATGACAGCCCACAGTAGGAGTATTTCTACTGGCTCAACTGAGTTATGCTTGGAGCTCCAAAAAGGTGACACGGGTTGGCGGGGGTGAACCATCATCCGTTGGTCCGTTACGGGGTGTCCCATGCAGCCATGTTTGATGGCACCGCGACACCGGAGGGCAAATAGATGTGCAAAGTCCAGATGTTACAGCCGGAAGTGATCCGAGAAAAAAACATGTGTGATAGGTAAAGCATGTAATTTCATGGGTCATGTTCCATTGCTATGTCAATTGACCAGGGAGGTCTTGTTTAAATGCATTTGGGTCAGTAATTTATCCCCAAATGGCCACACATCAATCTGATTTGGGGAATGAAATACATCCCATGTTCAATTATTTGGGCTATCATCTACTTGCATTGATATGTTTCTCAATAATCTTTTGACATGTGACCATGCCGGATGATAATCCAGGCAAAAAAAACCCTCCAACCATGGCTGCAGGGTGTGCCATGAGGAATCCATTGATTTTTTTGGGCAAGAGTTGGGGCTGTTCCCCCTCTGGTAAACATACAAAAAGTTATGGTTAAAATACCCTGTTTAGTTCGGTGATTTGCAAAAATGGTGATGTTTCATAGCTATCTTGGTTTACTGGAGGGTATACAACATTTTAATTCATTGTAACGAATCATTCACTAACGTAACTATATTGCCTCTCACATCCTAAAACTGTAATCTTAATGTCCTCTCTTCCAATGGCAGTTGGGGGTAAATCCGCCATTTTCAGGTACCCAACCCTTTGTCAGTGCGCCTCTGACAGTTTCGGTGCGCCGCCGTTGAATGAAGGTTATCTTCCAGAATCGCCACAGAACTCGAGCTCCCGAGCTCCATTGATCTTCAGGACATTTCAATGGCGACACATGGCGACTTTCACGGTCCCTGTAAGCAGCCAGGTCCTTGGTCGATCTGTGCTGATCATGGAGCAGCTTCCAACCAAACCAGCTCGGCTCACATTGTCTCACAAGACTTCGCCAATTGCGCTGGACAAGACGCTGGAAGCGCAAGACATTGTGGGCACATCCGCAGTCTTGTGCTGTAAGCCAACGAACTTGCTGGATGCAATTCGCTTCAGCAAAGGCTTCACAATAGTGGAGGAAGAATTTGTAATGGAGGGAGTGGCCAGACTAGCAGGCGCACCGCACACACCAGGCAGATACTTGCAACACCTTCCCAAAAGTTTGCAAAGCCTGACTTTTGACGATTCTTTTGATCAGAACCTTGAGGGAGTTAACTTGCCGCATTGCCTTCAAAGCTTGACGTTCGGTCGTTGGTTCAACCAACTTCTGGCGGAAATGAAATTGCCAAACAGTCTTCAAAGCTTGGCTTTTGGTGTTTTGTTTAATCACAGCCTTGAGGCAGTAAATTAGCCAAACGGTCTTCAAAGCTTGGCATTTGGTGATTCATTCAGCCAGAGCCTTGAGGGAGCGAAGCTGCCAAACAATCTTTGAAGCTTGACTTTCGGCTGTTGGTTCAATCAGAGCCTGGCAGGAGTAAACTTGCCAGACGGTCTTCAAAGCTTGAGATTTGGTGATTCATTCAGCCAGAGCCTTGAGGGAGCGAAGCTGCCAAACAATCTTCGAAGCTTGACTTTCGGTGCCTCATTGAAATGGAACCTGGCGGGAAAGAACTATCCAAACAGTATGCAAAGCTTGACTCTCGGCCAGTCATGTGAACAGAGCCTCGCCGAAATGAAGTTGCCAGACGGTCTTCAAAGCTTGACTATGACTAGTGGTGGGCCTTTTGGTCAGAAACTGAGGGGCCTGAACTTACCAGATGGTCTTCAAAGCTTGACGTTTGGCAATTCGTTTGACCAGAGCCTTGTGGGACTGAAATTGCCAGATGGTCTCCAAAGCTTGTCGTTAGGTGATTCGTTCAACCAGAGCCTTGCGGGAGTGAACTTGCCGCATTCCCTTCGAAGCTTGACCTTTGGTCGCTGGTTCAAACAGAGCCTGGCAGGAGTCAACTTGCCAGATGGTCTTCAAAGCTTGGCGTTTGGTCATATGTTTAACCACAGCCTGGCGGAAATGAAACTACCAAGCACTCTTCAAAGCTTGACGTGCGGTGGCTTGTCCAAACAGAGTGTTGAGGGAGTGAGTTTGCCAAACCGTCTTCAAAGCTTGACGTTCGGTGATTCGTTCAATCAGAGCCTTGAGGGAGTCAACTTGCCAGACGGTCTTCAAACCTTGACGTTTGGTTGTTGGTTCAACCAGAGCCTTCAGGGAGTGAGTTTGCCAGAGGGTCTTCCAAGTCTGATTTTTGGCGCTCGTTCCACCAAGAGGCTTGACTTTCGGCTGTTGGTTCAATCAGAGCCTGGCAGGAGTGAACTTGCCAGACGGCCTTCAAAGCTTGACATTCTTCTTGAAATTCCAAGCGGCCTTTCGCTAGCGCGTTGGCAAAGCTGGTCGATCTGACCTTGTCCCAGTCGAATAACTGGGCTCCTCATTCCCCAGACATATGACAGGCGGTGATAGAGGTCAAAGGGCGGCTTGTCTTGGGTTCACTGCATCGTTCTACTTGCATTGGGGGGCACAAGATGAAATGTATCACCCCTAGAAATGGAGACTATTACCCCCGACATTTAGTAAACAATCCCCATTTCCCAGGCTACAACCTCATCCCCGTATATCTATCTATCTATCTATCCATCCATCTATCTATCTACCTACCTACCTATCCTATCCTATCTACCTATCGACATGGCATGAAACGGCTATATAGATCAAGGACTATTTTTTGATCCATTCGGGGGACCGCAAAAAAATCCCAAGGACATGGCCATCACCTCCTCAGAGTATTGCCTGGCCACGCAACACGCGCCACCTGGCGAAGATTTTACTACGACGACAAGACGGGGGGCGGTCCGGGAAAAAGGATGTGATTCAGGAAAATGGGGAGTTTACCAAGAAATATGTGGATTCATGATCTTTACAAGATGATTCTTGTGGTTCAAGATTGCAAAGGTGATTTTTGCAAGATGATTTTTGTGAGTCAAGATGTTTTTTTTCACACGATTTGACACCATCACTAAGATGATTTGGCCAATCTAAGACAGAGGATGTGAACAGTGAATGGCAGCAGGACTCAGTAAGATGTTCACATCCTTCTTTGACTGCTTCTTTG